CTTCGAAGCCCATTTCCATACAACCAAATCATCGGAACTGAATCTCTCTGACTCAACCAAACCACGCAGGCCACCAAAACCCAAGAGTATCGCCACAAAACACCTGTAGAAACTCACTACATCATAAGAACCAAAAGAGCCAATCACATCCATTACCATGCCGATCCAACCCATTACCAAGTTGTCCTAATTTCTCCGAGTTCCTTCCGAGTTTCCTTCAAATTGATACTTCTCCTCGCCATAACACCACAATCCTCAACCAAGACTCACCACACGAGACCCTAACATAAAACCACACCGCCCTAAGGCTCATAAGCCGCTGAATGCTCTCTTAAGCACCCCAAATGTACCACAACCGAGATACCCACTCTGAAGAGACCTTATCTGAATTTAGAGCTATTCATCTTACCTTCCTGATACTGAATGTAAAATTCAGAATGATATAGTAATACTGCGAGTCTCGACACCATCCAATGTAACTCTCAGCTTCTAGCCAAATACAAATCCGCAACATTCTCAACTGCCATGTATAAATCTTGAATTCATTAGAACCATTCTCAAGAGTCATTCACTCTACTCAAATCTCAATAGCACTGCCCAAACGGACCGGACGACCTGTGCCCCATTAGTACATCACCACCCAAGGAAGTAATCCATTCTTCTAAGAAGCCGAGCAATTTCCTACTCCATGCACGCTACATCCTTTACAAATAACAACTAAATCATCCAATGTTTCTCATATAACCGTAAATCATAACACCACCCTTATCCAAAATTTCCTTTACCGAGTCATCCTCGATCTCAGCCTCTGTAAGCCATAACTGATTTCACCAGTATACCTCAAACTGAAATCAATACAACACATAACCGTGCAATCAACTAATCAATAGCAAACTCCCCCACTTGGTTCAAAGCCACATATCAAAACACACAATAACTCACAATGCCCATACTCTATTACTGCCATAATGCCATAGTGAGATTCAACTAAATCCCTCATAAGCTCATGCAACACAAACCATCTAATATCTCAAATCATCTGCAAATCTCGCATTCACCCTTGTAACAGTCAAGATAACTCTCATAAGCGGTCTAAACTCAAATTGCAATACATATAATTTACTGGTAAAAGAACTTGCTACAAAAAAACATAGGGATCACATATACCTCAGGACACCCCGCATAAGATGATCCACCTGCTTCGCCTCAAACTAACATCTCTTTGTACCCTTCAACAGTCATAAACATTACGCAATCCCTTAATCTTCCTGAGTTTGAACTCATATCACGACATGAAATCTACTTCATTCCTCAACTAAACAACATGAAAAGATCCTTCAACACACCCATAACTCGGGGCTATACATAAAATCAAGAAGGAAATCAAGCACCAAATAGTTCCTTCTACACCTCAAGCAAATCCTTCTCGTCACATTCAAATCATATGAACACATCTCGCAGTCACATCCTACTCATCACGTAGCCATCTAGCCACAAATTCAACTAATAGGGATACTACCGGACATATAAGTCCAAAGGCACATGCTCACACAATCAACACCTCAGTGCTCAAGCCATAGTCAAAATCCGTCCTCAAGTCCTCCAGACTAGCCCATCTTCAGCATACTGAAATCATATCTTGCACCTTATCTAGGGAATCACAAGTCATCGATGCACAGCTGATACCGAGCGCTCTTGTGCGCATGCGAATGCGTGGAAGGAACCAAGGAGTTACGCTTCAAGCTGAATCAATGATGCACGATAAGGAAAGAAAGATGGCAAGTATATCCTAAATGCCCTGTAGCCTCTCAAAGATAGGTATGGACGTCATCATACCGATCTGCAGGACTCTACTAGACACTTGCTCATGACTTGTAGAACCTATGAACCTAGAGCTCTAATACCAATCTGTCACGACCAAAAACCCGCTAGGTAAGCCAACTATACTATCCGATTCCAATAATATTCAATAAGGAAATTTATCAAAAGAAATTATTTGAATCTTATACGTTTCCCCGAGGACTGGTAGTACAAATCATGAGCTCATAAGAATAGAGATTACAAAGCTGATATGAAGTAAATACATCATCTGTTTGAAAGATACATAAACAGAGTTTTAATATTTCTAAGGCTACCATGAACAAGAGGCAGCTACAACAGGGACGCATGCACATCTTCCAATTCAGCTCCCATCGAACACAGCAACATCGACATCCGAAATCTGAATGCAATGTGCAGGAAGTGTAGTATGAGTACAACCGACCCCATGTACTCAAAAAGTAACAAACCTAAACTTAGGTTGAAAGTAGTGACGAGCTGGAGCATAGGTCGGGTCCAACACCAATAACCAACAACAGTTCATAACAACATAGAGCATATATACGAGGAAGTAACTCAGAGATAAAATGCTCAGCTTTTCACAGTTTTCCGAAAATAGTTCCGCTTTTCAAGAATATCAATGAAACTCAAATCTTTTACCGAAATCGTCATAAAAATATAAGATAGTTTGAAAACTGTAATTTTTCAAAAAATCCTTTTCACAATAAATAAGATGTTTCATTTTCTTTCCAAATACCAAGTGTGAAATACCTCTCTATGCCACATATCAATGAGTGTAAAAAGTCATGAATGACGTGATACCGTACAACATGAGGAAAATGCATCTTTATGAATGTATGTTATGTGTGCATGCCAATGCCATGTATCTCAGAGATAAATCATGCACTCACACTCTCAAAGTACACAATCTCACTGTCTCACACTTTCCACTCATCATGCTCAACCACTCGGTACTGTATACGGCCCATGTGGCCCAGGGAAGATCCATCCTGGAATATATACATCGCTGGCCATCAGTCACTTAGTACCGAGGAAGGCCAATCCGGCCCCATAGAGAAGATCCATCTCCAAGTATATAAATACTTCGGACAAGATCCATGTCCGGGGAAGATCCATCCCTCAATATAATTAACCGCGCTCAGTGGGGGTGTGTAGACTCCGGAGGGGCTTCTTCAGCCCAAGCGATATAATCTCCACGGACAACTCACGTGTTGCATGGACAACTCAGGCGCTATAGTATCAATATCAGAATAGCCGCTGCGGTGTGCAGCCCGATCCCATAACTGTCGCTCATAATCAGGCTCTCGGCCTCACTTAGTCATAAATCTCTCCAGACACCTATGGGCTCACAATGTCATGAAAACTGACCCGGAACAATGATATGATGTATCAATAAGTAACAACTGAGACTGAGATATGATATGAATGCATGAAGTGACTGAGTACGAAATATCAATAAAATCAGTGAGATAACAACGAGCAACGACCTCTATGGGTCCTAACAATATCAACATAAAGCCTAAACATGATATCTAGCATGATTGACAACTCAGTTACTTTATCACATGGTGAAAACGCATATATCAACAAAGGGGGCCACTAAATACTGCCCTGGAAATAACAGAGTCACAATTCACAGGGTGCACGCTCGTCACCTAGCATGTGCGTCACCTTAACACCAATCACATAACACATAATTCGGGGTTTCATACCCTCAGCACTAAGTTTAGAAGAGTTACTTATCTTAAACAAGCTGATTCCGACACCGAGCAAGCCAAGCGATGCTCCAAGAATTCCATCACGCGCGTAGCAACCTCTGAACGGCTCAAAACTAGCAAAAAGCAACTCAAATACATCAGATAAAGCCCAAGGAAACAATTTCAAATGATAAAGATCGAATTCTACATCAAATCCCAAATCCAGCCAAAAATCACACCCGGGCCCATGCCTCGAAACTCGACAAAACTCACAAAATCTGACAACCCATTCAATTACGAGTCCAACGATACTAGTTTCACTCAATTCTGACTCTAAATCGTTGATCAAAACTCTAAAATTCATATTATAAAACTTTAGGCCAAAATCGCCAATTTCCTATTTAAATTCATCAACCAATTGCCAAAAATGAAGATAGATTCATGAAATATAATCAATACTGAGTGGAGAACACTTACCCCAATCATTGTGATGAAAATTGCTCCAAAAATTGCCTCAATCCGTGTCCCACATCTCAAAATATGAAGAAATAACCAAAACCTCGATTTCATAGCTTCTGCCCAGAAGTTTCGCTTCTGCGGACACTTAACCGCATCTGCGGTGTCGCTTTAGTGCAAAAATCACCGCATCTGCGAAAAACCACTTAAATCCCCATTTCCGTACCTGCACTCCCTATCCGCTTCTGCGACCTCGCAGGTGCGGAAAAGACCTCGCACCTGCGGCCACTGCCAGACCTCCTCTCTTCCGCTTCTGCGGGCTCGCAGATGCGTACGACTAGTCGCACCTGCGGTCTTCCCCAATCCAAAACACTTCCGCACCTGCGTCCATACCACTACACCTGCAGCGTCGCACCTGCAGCAATACCCTCGTAGGTGCGATTACACCAGCAACAGGCCAACTTCAACAATTCTCCAAACTTCAGACTTAATCTGTTAACCACCCGAAACACACTCGAGACCCCTAGGACCTCAACCAAACATGCCAAAAAGTCTAACAACATAACAGGGACCTACTTGAGGCCTTAAAACACACATAACAACATTGAAACGTTGAATCACACCTCAATTCAAAATCAATGAACTTTGAAACTTCAAATTTCCACAACCGATGTCGAAACCTATCAAATCATGTCCGATTGACCTAAAATTTTGCACACCAGTCACATTTGACATTAAGGACCTGCTCCAACTTCCGGAACCGGAATCCAACCCCGATATCAAAAAGTCCACCCCCGATCAAACTTTCAAAATTCCATCTTTCGCCATTTCAAGCCAAATTCCACTACGGACCTCCAAATCACAATCCAGACGCGCTCCTAAGTCCAAAATCACCCAACGGAGCTCACGGAGCCATCAAAAATCCAATCCGAGGTCAAATTCTAAAAAGTTAAACTTGGTCAAACCTTTCCATTTTTAAAGCTTCTAGCTGAGAACCATTCTTCCAAATCAATTCCGAATAACCTGAAAAGCAAAACCAACGGTTCACATAAGTCATAATACATCATACGGAGCTACTCATGACCTCAATCAATCGAGTGAAGTGCAAATGCTCAAAACGACCGATCGGGTCGTTACAATGCTCCATAATTGAGACCTTCTTCTTTGGCTTCTTTGCACTTTTAGACTCCTTAATGATTTGTGCATCAACAACCTTTCTTTTACTCCTTGTAAGAAGAGTTCTGGAAGGAGGAGCCCTTCCTTTCCTAGTTGAGACTGCTGACTTTGTAGCTTTCATGACGGTCTTCCTAGGTTCTTCCCTACCTCAGATAGTGGTACATCATCTTTATCACTGCTTACTTCTTCATCTATAGTGAAAGGAGTTAACAGAGACCCATGTTCTTGAGCCCTTGTGTCTTCACTAGTGTCTTCTGAAGGGGCTATAACAGTGTTCCCAATGGTCATGGAACCTTCCGATTCCTCACTCACATTCCCATCTTCTTCCTCACACTCTTCATCACCTCTTTCACTCTCACGTACCTTTTCTTGATCCTCACCCTCAGAGTCATCCTCTTCTTCACTATGATTTTCTTCGTCTACAGAATCATTAACCTATTCACCTGTCTTATCATCTGTATCACTCTCCTTTTCATCTCCAGATGCTGCCTCATTCTCACTCTTTTCTTCTTTATTGGCTATGTTTTGAGCACATTGCTCCTCATGACTGTTCACGGCTTCTTATTCTTTTTCACCCCCATCATCTTCCTCATCCTCAGTCTAACTAAAACAAAGGCCATCAGAAGCCTCCTTTTGCACAGGTTCTTTATTTCCTTCCCCCTCAACCATAGGCTCCACAACAATAGTATCTACCTCCTTCCCAGATCACCTGCACCCTTTTCTACAGTGAATTTCTCCACTTGTGGCTTCTCAGTCGTGGGTGGGAGAGTATCTAGGGGTGTAGCATCTATAGAAGACACCAAAACATTTAATTTAGAAGGAGGATGTTGTACCTAATCAGTAGTGACTGGCACCGATTTCCCCTGAACCACAGATTCCTTGGCTACAATGTTACCCTGCGTAACAGCATCAAATATTTTCTTGACAGATTTTCTTGGAGTGGCCTTAACCTTTGTTGACTTAGAGTTATTTTCCGCAGTAAGCTCAGGTGCATGGGTGGTTGGTTTTAGAGGAGTGGATACAGTGTACGTGGGGATGATAGGAATAGCAGGAACAGGGGATGATGATGTAGGTATAGTGGAGGATATCGAAAGAGAAGGAACAGGTGGGGGTGGGGGTTCCCTTGATCGCTTGGCATTTTTCTTCGATTTGGGCTTCATGATTTTGAGTTTTGCTTCAGCCTTGGTTGATGATTTGGCTTTATAGGGTGTTTGACTCGCTTTATGCATGGTGATCAGATGAGAGACTCTAAGAAGAGAAAGGGAGAATTAGTTCTTGATAATTAGTCTTGATTCTTGCTTAGAGCCTTTTAAATACGTTACTCTTGATTTGACTAGAAGAGAGAAGGTGACCGAATTTAAGTTCTAACGGGACTCTTATAACGGTTACCTTGACTATTAGGATTTTAGGAGTAATTGAACTCTAATTGCACTAGGATTCTCCATTACTCTTTGACTAGAAGACGATTGGAAGTGATGCCAATGGAATTAGAATTCTGAGTATAGCAATAATTTTAGGAAATAAAGTCCTAGCGACTTAAGACTGTATGGCATGTACCTGAGTCAAAGAACCAACTCCTTAGCAACTCCTTATTTGTTTCTGCAATAAAGCTTCGGCATTTCATATTAGTATCGTACAAAATAGTTATCAGCCAGATTTTTCAAGCAAGTGTGTGAGCTTAATACAAGCACAAAGCTAAATCAAACACATTGTACTTAATTATCTACATCTAATTATGCCTTTTCTAGCCAATCACTGGGATTCAACTTAGTGGGAAGAGTTGATTAGACCTAGTTCTAGTCTATTCCTTTCAAAGTTATCCCTACTCGGATCTTTAGTAAAAATATCAATAATTTGATCTTCAGTTTTACAAAAGTTAATTGAGATATTCCCCTTTTTAACATTGTCTTTGAGAAAGTGCTGTCTAATGTCAATGTGTTTGGTTCTCTTATGCTGACATGGATTTTTAGCAATGTTTATGGCACTGGTGTTATCACATAAAATGGGAACACAATCAACAAATATACAATAGTCCCTTAGTTATTGTCTTATCCATAGCAACTGAGCACAACATGATATTGCTGCCACATATTCAAACTAAACTGTAGATAAGGCCACTGAGTTTTGCTTCTTGGTTCCCCAAGACACCAGACAAGAACCTAGAAAATGAGATGTTCCTGAAGTGCTTTTCCTGTCAACATGAAAACCTGCATAGTCAGCATCAACATAACCAACTAGATCAAAACTATATCCTCCGGCATACCGTAGACAGAGATCAGGGGTCCCCTTGAGATATCTTAGTATCCTTTTGATATCCTTCAGGTGAGATTCCTTGGGATTTGCCTAAAATCTTGCACATAATCCCACATTGAACACTATATCAGGCCTGCTTGCTGTGAGGTACAACAGTGACCGAATCATTCTTTTATATAGTTTATGCTCCACACTTTTCCCTTCTTCATCAAGGTCCGGCTTTGTTACAGTTGCAATGGGTGTGTCAATGGACTTAGATGAGTCCATATTGAACTTTTTCAGTAGTTCTTTGATATATTTCTACAGATGTATCATGGTTCAAGTAGGTGTTTGGTTGATTTGCAGCCCCAGAAAGAAATTCCATTCACTCATCATGCTCATTCAAACTTATTTCCCATCATCTCAACAAATTCCTTGCACATTGCTTCATTGGTAGCCCCGAAGATAATGTCATCCACATACACTTGCATAATTAGAATATTTTTCCCTCTACTCCTTAGAAATAGAGTGTTGTCCACCTTTCCTCTTACAAAATTATTGGTTAAGAGGAATTTCGAGAGCCTTTCATACCAAGATCTTGGCGCATGTTTCAGTCCATAAAGAGTTTTATCCAATGTGAACACATAGTCATGAAATTCTTCACTTTCAAATCAAGGAGCTTGTTAGACAAACACTTCCTCCACCAGATAACAATTCAAAAAGGCACTCTTTACATCCATCTGATTTAAGGTGAACTCCATGTGGCCAGCAAAGGCGATCATCATTCTTATAGCCTCCATTCTAGCTACAGGTGCAAACGTCTCACTATAGTCAATGACATCCTCTTGATTGTATCTTTGAACCACCAATCTGGCATTGTTCCTTGTGATATTTCCTTGTTCATCTAACTTGTTTCCGAACACCCATCTAGTACCTATAACAGTTTTGTCCTTGGGTTTTTGTACCAGGTGCCAGACCTTGCTTCTCTCAAACTGATTTAGCTCCTCTTGCATGGATATTATCTAGTATGGATCCTTTAGAGCTTCTTTGATGGTCTTAGGTTCAACCTGTGAGAGGAATGCTGTGAGTGCATATAGATTTCTTAGAGAAGACCTGGTTTGCACCCCTGCGTTTGGATCAGAGATGATATTTTTAAGAGGATGTGAACTTTGATGCTTCCATGGTCTGATCTATATACTAAGAGAAGATTCACCTGAGCAGTGACTTACCAACCATCCCAATACCTTTTATCTGGCCCTTTTTCCCATTTCCAAATGACACATTCCCTCCTTGGAAAGCTGTCAGTGAGAGGAAGTTTTTCTTTTCTCCAGTCATATGTCTTGAGCATTCACTGTCTAGATACCAGTCCTGATTGTTTCCTCTCACCTTAGCCTGCACCAAAATTCACAAGTTAGTTTTAGGAACCCAGACAAATTTGGGTCCCTTTTTGTTAGAAAAAGGATGAATTAGATCCCTTCTTGCCTAGAAGGGGAGAGGATTAGAAGCTATTTTCTTGTCAACCTTAATCCACTTGGTATGGACAGGAGGATTAACCTTTGGATCTTCACATTTTAGCAATACCAAAGGTGCTTCTAAACTGAGCATGAATTAAGGCAGGACAAGTGTCTCTGAAGTGTCCTATTCTTCCACAATGATTGCACATGTTATTATCAGAAATTCCTACATACTTTGGGTCAAAATTAGGGACAGATTTTCTATAGCCAACTCCATATTTGTTAGAGCTACAGTGTTCATTCAGTCAGTTCAACGCATCAGAAGATCTATGCCATTTGCTTAGTCTAGAGAGTTCATAATTAGCCTTTTCTAGGTTTTCCTGCAGGACTTTATTTCTACATTCAGCATCACAAAGATTATCTTTAGCAATTTTTAATTTCTTTTCAAGCTTATCCTGCAGATCACTCATTTTTCCTTTGTCATGTATATTAGGAGACTTCTCATTCTTAGAAGTAAGCTCAAGAACCTGGTTCTTAATGTCTTTAACCTGTTTCTCTAAACTAGCTTTCTCAGATTCAAGCTCTTTGATATCAGGTTTGACAGAAGTAAGGTTACTTATTAGCTGATCATTTCCAGTACTCATTTTATCCATTTCATTCAATAAGGTCACAATTATGGTCATCGGTTGTTTTTTGGACATAGCATGGTTGTTCTCTTTCAAGTCAGATATACTTACTTGGTTTGCTTCATCTTCGGTTTCTGAATCACTCATGGCTATCATCCCTATCACTTGTTCCACTGTTTTGAATTCTTCAATCGCCATCAAGGCCATTTTGATGTTTCATTTCCAAAGTCAGTTTCCAAGGTCCTCCATATATCATGAGCAGAGATGCAAGAGGACACTCTAAAGAGAGTGTTTCTAGACAAGCTTCTGTAGAGCAGCTCCTTTGCTTTACCATTTTTCTGAACTAGCTGACGATCTTCCTCATCGTATTCCTCTTATTTTTTGTTGCACTTGTTACCTTCACTATCCATTTTGGTTGGGAGAATTGGTCCATGACTGACAATTATCCATAGGTCAAAGTCAGTTGCCTGAAGAAATATTTCCATACACAGCTTCCATTCATCATAGTGGTGTTCATCAAATAAAGGAGGTCTTCTAATGTGCATTCCAAGCTGTACTGAGGGTTCAATCTCCACAGCTTGGTGTTCATCAATCACAACATAAAGACTTATAGCCTCATCCTCCTTTTCTTCCTCTTGATCACTTCCACTGTCCTCATATGCTTCCAAGAAGGCCTGCTTCATTGCTTCAGTAAATCCTTTGCCTAGAATTTTTTCTTTGTTGGAACCCTTTTCTCTCATCTTCTCCCGTTTCTCTTTTTCAGCTCGTTCTTTTCTCCGCTCAATTTCCCACATTGAGCAGTTCTTGACCGTGTGATATATCTTACCGCACTTGTAGCACCCATCATATTTAGCTTTGTTAATCTGCTTGGGCTTACAACTAGTATCTCTCTTGGATGCATTTTTGGAATTCTTCATGAGCCTCTTGAACTTGGCAAACATTGCTAGATCAGGATCATCAAGTCAGATTCATCATCCTCATACACTTTAAGAACCAAAGCCTTATCCTTCTTGGGTACTTCCTTGCGCAGTTCTATCTTTCTTATTTCATAAGTTTTTAAGTTTCTAACCAACTCATCAAGTGAGATTTTGTCCAATTCCTTGGCTTCCTAGATTGCAGTGACTTTTGATTCCCATGAAGCTGGAAGGATTCTTAGAACTTTGCTAACCAACTCTTATGAGGTAAACACTTTTCCAAGTGATTTCAGTTCATTGGTTATTATAGTGAACCTAGTCATCATATCTTGGATGGGCTCAGACTCCTTCATGGAGAAGAGATCATAGTTTCTCATGAGTAGCTCTATCCTTGATCTCTTTACTTGGATGTTTCTTCATGAGCAATTTGGAGTGCATCCTATATTTGCTTCGCATTAGAGCACACAGAAATTCTATTGTACTCATCAGGACCAAATCCACATATAAATATTTTTTTAGCCTTTGCATTCTTCTCCATCATTTTGAAATCTGCTGCCACAAATTCGGAAGGGTCCTTAGAAACTGTTTCATTTTGTGCATTTTGTTTAGTAGGAATCAAAGGACCTTGGTTCACATGGTCCCTAGTTCATAGTCTTCAGCTGTCAGGAAGTCTTCCATTCTTGCTTTCCACCAACTGTAATATTTTTCACTGAACAAGGGTGGCCTGATAGTTGATTGTCCTTCATTAATTCCGGGTGGAGCACTCATCTTGCTTCCAAGATTTCTCTAGGTGTTAGCCGTATAAATGAGAGAACATGCTCTGATACCAATTGTTATTTTGAGTGCCCGTATGGATTACTAAAGAACTTGGTTCTTTACCGTATTCCTTAAGCGTAAAGTAAATAAGCAATAAAATGAACACATTGATTTTTACGTGGAAAATCACCCGGCTCAAAAGGTGCAAAAATCACGACCTACCACGTAGGATTTTCAACTCCAACTC